TTTATACTCGAATCTCGTGGCAGGCAGGCAGTGTCTCTGTTGCGGATCGCATGATTCACTTTGCCACATGCCTACCCGTCCCTGTCCGAGCCCCTGCCTCACTTTGTGGGCCAATTAATCTCTCTGGCTATTAAAATGTTATTACTCAATGTCTGTTCTTCGAGGTTTGAGGGGTGTGTGTTTTTTTGTGTGTGTGTGGGGGAGGCGAGATGATGAGTGCCCCCTCCGTTACCCTTTCTTTTGGCTTAATGTTTGGTTATTTATCTAATAATTTCTTATCGAAAACTTATTTTGGGTGTCCCCCAGTCCCTGTCCCCCCAGGGGTGTTGTTTGCATGAGTAATGCTTTGATAAGGGTTAAATGTTGGCTGGCTATTCAAATCAATTTGCATGACTCAATTGTTAATGTTGGAATTATCATAAATGAGCCATACTTTAGATGGGATATATTTTTGGGGGTTTTATTGGGGATATTCCTTGAATTACGAGTATTATTTTGATGTAGGAAAAGTATATTTCCCCCAAAAATGAGTTAACCAACTTGCCCTTTTGATGTCTTTCCATTATTTGGGTGTCTCTTGCGGTTTGGAAACACCCCAGAGAATCAACGGCAGCCTGTTCTATAAAGATCAATTATTTTTTGTTGGAAATTTATTTAACTTTAAAGTTTTTGCTTTAATTGCTGCTGCGCTTAATTACATTTTTTTTCCTGTGAAATGAGAGACCTAATCAGCATATGGCAATGATATTCCAATGATCTGGGGTGGGGCTCTTATCGGGAATACCTAACACCGAAGCTTTTTTATTTTTGTTTATTTTTAGAGTATTTTCTGTATAAATTATGAAGTCTGAATCGCCTGAGTGCGATGTCGTCAATTTTCAATTCACGTGCCAGGCGGGTGGTGCCGCATGAAATCATGCCCCAATCCCCCCCTCCACTCATCGAGCAGCAGCCTCCTCTGTAGCACTCGAGTCTCAAGTCTCGATTGGCGGCCTTGGTGGCGGTGGTGGTGGCGTCGGAGGCGGCGGCGGAACAACAATAATAATGACGCCATGGAATTACCGACGAGACGCCTCCCTGGGTTCGTTTCGCATCATTGTGGCAGAAATAGCAACTGAAAAGGCAGCTGTGCTGATAAGTTGCAAAAGAGAACAAAAACGATGCAATTTTTGCATTAAAAAAGTAGCCAGAGGAGAGTGACGAATGGATAAGTCGAGGGAAATCGGATATCAGTGCATTCGATTATTGGAATTTTGATATTTATAGCAATGTTATGAAAAATTAAAGGGAATTTCGATTCGATAAAGGGTTATACGGAGCAGCAAAGCTGCAGCATCGCGGGTTTGCCGAAAGCCTTAACCGTTGCAAATATATCACACAAAAATTGGAAATATGAAAGAAATTCTTTCACGAATTTTTGACACATTTTTTGCTTGAATTTGCTGGATGGATCCAGCATAAAAGTGGATCTCTAGCATTATTGTTATGTATTCCATTACTAACGCAAATCGAATGAATCAGAGACCATCAACAGCCATCCCATCATCATCATCATCCTCGTTCTCGAATGTTGTATCTCTGTATCTCTGCTGTTGCATCCACATCATCATCGGTTTGGTGACAATTGTGGAGTCTGGTCGCGATGTCTCCATTTGTTTGTCGCACATTCACAAATTGTTCTTCTCCATTCTTTGTCATTAAATGCTCCACACACTCAAACATTCATACACTCTCTCTCGCTCTGCTAGTCGAATGCTGAATGAAAATGACCGCTGGAATTTATGGGTGTCTCCTCCTCCTCCGACTGCTCTATCCCCCTTCCTGCTCTTACCCTTTCTCACTATACGTCGCTGGTTCTCTCTGTGTGTTCTTTGCTCTTTATCTGGGCAAATATTTACACTGAACTTTCGTGTCAATTGATGTCACATTCCTTCTCCTTTCTCCTCTTTTTTTCTGTTTTTTTTTTATATTTCTGCTGTATGTGAAATTGTAAAGAAAAGTGTGGAATTTTACTGCCTTCTGACCTGCCACTAAATCAGCTGATAATTCGCCATCACCGCCACCCCAACGAACGATATCTTCTGTGGTGTGTGTGTGTGTGATTGTCTAAGTGGGCGCCAGATGAGGCAATAAACAGATTTTCTGTGTGCGGTAGGGTCAGTGCTTGGCCTACGCTTTCTTCTGCTTTGAACTTGCGCCCGCACAGCCGTTTCGCTTTAGGTCTTTGGATCACATTTGGGGGGGGGGGCACGTACTACTACGGAGAAGCCAACAGATTGGGCTAGCTTTGTGGCATATTTCAGTGGCAGGAAGAGGGCCATAGATAGACTGCATATTAGGACGCAAATTATGGGATCAGACAGAATGGGATTGCACGGGATTTCGTGTTCAGTTCAAGCCTAGATGAAAGTTAAATTCACAAATAAGTTATGCATTTTTTGGACCAACTTTTAACTGCAAATTAAAACCATTCAACAGGGCAAAACTGATAAATGCATTGATTTCGGGGGAAGGGAGAATGGAAATTTCTCTGAACTTCTCTCTGACCAGCAGAATATCGACAGTCGACAGAAAGTGTTGACAGGCAGCAACACCACCACACAGCACCACCAGCACGACAGCACAGCACCATCGTGAAGCCACACGAACGAAATCCATCATTGATGCAGTCTGTTGTTTAAACAATTATTAGTTAAACTAACTGTTAATTTCAATAGGCGGCGCGGTCCACACAGAACAGACTCCATGAACTCTTCGTGGCAGTACCATCCGTATGATATATGAGGGTCCTGACACATCCGACATGGCCAGAGGGAACGCCATTGTTGGTGTTTTGGGTGTGAGTTCTTGCCACAGAATGGTGTGTGGGGCAGAACGCATTATTAATGCGATTATTGGAGGAGTATGAGAGGCGTCACTCCACACATCGCACCATACAGAGATCCCGCATAAAGTAATAGCTGGAGAGCAGAGCAGAGCCCATCATCATCATCACTGAATGGACATCATGAGCCCTAGGAATCGATGTGTTCGTTTGTTGTGTTTGGGTATTTCCGTGGCAAATTGCAGTGGAATACTAATTTACAGATACAAATTGATGCCTGCCTGCCCCCCCAACCCAAACCGAAGCGACGCTCTGTCTAACGATAAACGCAACTCAGCAACAGCAGCAGCAGCAGGGCGGGTAGTGGTATATGGGGATTCCTCTTTCTCGCCCTCTCATTTGTGTGGTGGTGCCGGGGGAGTGAAATTTTCGGGTGTTGTTGTTGAAAATTCGAAAATTACGTGACTGCATTCGGAAAAAGAAAGGCGCAAGAATTTGTCGGAATGTAGCCAGCCAGAGATAGATGTGGGAGGAAGGGATTGAGGGGAGGCAAGGGGCTTTGGCTTTGGCTCTGTCGCTGAGTTGAATTCTAAATGAAAGAGAGACCATCCCAATGGGTCAGGCGAAGGGGGGGAGGCATGGCTCGTGCTATCCCCAATATGTCTTTGTCGTCGGATAGGCCGTTCTTCTGTTTCTGTTTTTTCGGTATATCTCTCGTGTCCAGCCCGAGACGAGCAGGTCCTGCGTGTCTCAGGGCATAGACTGCTGTACAGTAAAAGTGAAAAAGTAGGAAGAAAACACATTTCAACAATAATGTTGTTAATTTTTTAAGTTGATAAGGTCAAAGGGTTGCCGAAAATAAAAGGAATGCTATAAGCTCAGTTTGTACTGTGAAGGATGTCTACTTTTTTGATGGAATAGGGATATTTGTTGTTAAAATGTGATGAAAAAAGGTTTTGACAAAGGGTGACTTGAAATAGTTGAAAATTTAAGAAACTGTACAGAAAATGTAGATTAAAGTTGGTTAATGGTAAGAGTTGCTCAGTAAGTGGAAGATATAATGATAGATAGAAGTATCCGCTAGTCTCTGCCTCACCTTCTAAGCCCACAAGTTGAACCATTTTTTGTCGTTTTAATCCACACTTTGTACACAAATTACTGGTAATCGTAATACGCATTCTGTTGACACTTTTCATAGCCAATTACAAGAGCGGAATGGCTGTCAAAAGGGAGTAAGAGGGAATACCAGGAGGCGGTGGAGGAGGCGGCGACACTGGAGAGGGAACAAAACGTTCTCTCGTGCGTGCATTGTTCAATCGTAACACGGTAGTATTTCGTGTCTGGTTCTTTTATTTTGTTGCTCTATTTGCACAGTTCTGGGCGGTTGAAGGTGGACATGGGCGTGGGCATGGGGTGTTGGCTGTGGGTGACCCTTCCGCTATGTTGTAGAGGTGGTGACCCCCTCAAGCCACCATTCCATTCCAAGCTCGGACTTTGGGGGGACGAGACCCTTCTCTAATGGAGTTGTAATGAGTGTGAAAATTAATGTCGTCACATTACTCACGCACCCAAATACAGGAGGAATTCAAACGAAGCGCAAGCGGACGTGGATGGTGACGGGGTTAGGAGCGAGGGGTTCCATTTGCATGGGCGTGTGCTGGAGAAGGGGTTCGTTTGCATGGAATGGGAAGCGGAATGGGTTGATGGTTCTCTGCTAATATTTGCGCTTAACTGGAACTGGAGTACACGCCATAATCAATTGTGAATGCTACTATATACAGTGTGGAATGATGGCAGGAGGAGGGTACAATATGGCATGCAAAGGCGTGTAGCAGATGGGGTTTCACATTTATGTTTATGGGAGTGGGTGAGTCATGACATTGCTGATAAGATATAGCCGCGATATAGCGTCAAGCATAATGAAACTACAACGATTACTCCATGTTGAGTTGATGGATAAATCAACTGAGGGCGGTAGATCCCAGATATGAACAAGAGGAGGGACGAGAAATAAATACTTGATATCAGAACTGAAGTGTTTTAATACTAAAAGTACTTTAATATTATTATTGTTTATTTTTACAATAACTTTTCCCCTTTATACAGAATCTGAATATTTTTCCTAAATTTCTTCTTGCTTTGCACTTACCTCCACTTTTCTTTTTCAACATTTAAGCCGGTATACCCCTTGAGTCGATGCCTCATAGCTCGCACGGCATCCATCACATTTGCTTTGGCCTCTTACTGCCACCAGACATTGCCACATGCCACCAGCTCCTGCCACTGCCTTTTACATTGAAGGTAAGTCCAACCAACTTTTGATTTATTTACACATTTGCTGAACCTTGAAAGACAAACAGACAGACAGACAGACAGTCTGTTAAATATTTAGATTCTCGTTTCTGTTTTTTTCGGGGATTGTAAATCACTCGACGAACAGAGAGACAGAGAGAGGAAGCTGAGATGCAAGATACATTTACCTTACCGTACGAGTTGAGTCGCTGCAGTGACACACGTAAATCGTATCTGGCAGATGCGACACATTTAGATTAGCCACCAAGTCAACTGCAAAGCAAAGTTCTTCTTGGGCAATTCTATTATTACAGTGAGGGGGAAAAATAACCAGTAACAACGAATATCTTTTTACAAATGTATCTTTCTGAGTTTTTTTAATTATTTATTTACCTAAATAGCTTCTTAAACGATTAAGTAAATAGTCTTCAGGCTTTATTTTCAACTTAAGCTAAATTTAAATGGCATTTTAAACGCTTCCAGCGTTAGATTTATGAATGAAACCCCATTTTAATGATTGTCTAAGCCAAAAACAAACTCAATTAGTGCTATTCCCAGACTTTCGTTCAAGTTTAAACTAAATCTGTATATATATTTGCTTAACTTAACGATCTTGCAGACCCACATGACCTTCGGCGAAACGTTTCTTAAATATCGATTTCAATAGAGTTCACTACTAGAACCAGTTCCGCTTTATGTTTTGTTGTTTTTCGTAGAATGGTAACTATTTTTGGCCCCAATGCTAAATTGGTTGATAAATGTTGATGGATATTTGTGTGTGCCGGTGGCTGTGTGTTCTGTCGTAGCGTGTGGGTGTCGGCCTCTCGCAAAGAACTCGCAAAAATATTCATTACGAAAGCTAAAAAGACAACAAAGCAAAACGACAGAAGCCGACAATCGACAATGGCATAGTTTTTTTTAGCTGCTTGTTTATTTGCTTTTGCAATTCTATTTTTATCATCATGCAGTTTATTTATAAAAATGGCAGGCATTCCGGTGGGGGCTCCATTATCTCAAAACTAAAATCAGATAGAGCGGAGCAGAGCAGAGCGAACTGAAACAAAAACAACAATAGCGAAATCAGCAATAATGACCGCAAAAATAATCATAAAAAATTACCAACTGGCAGGCAATGACAAAACAGAGACAACTGAAATACTGAATAACAAAACAATCAGAGGAGAACACCTTGAGATTGAAAGTTGACGGAATACTTTATGAATCATTCACTTCAATGTTGAAAGGATTGCAGGAAGAGGGTGGCATAGGCGGCCTATATCTGCATATAAATGTATACTTTAGCACTCCTTTTGAAAACCACTCTTTACTCCACCCAAAAAGTCATTCACAAACAACAAACAATCACACATGGCCCATCAAACATTCCCTCATTCATGAATATTCATTCATTTAATTCAGCAGACATCAATCCGTATTTATAGACGGAACACACATTCCTTTCGCTTTTATTACAAACGCTTGTGGCCCATTTATTGCCGCTACAAAAGCCAACAAATAAAAACTAAAAATACTTAATTTATGGCAAAAAATGCTTTGAAAATATTTAAAAATATCTAGAGAAGAATTCAAAAAACATAAGAGAAAAAGGAAATAAAACCCCAAGCCGAAAAGTCAGAAAAGAACTGGGGAATTTTTCTCCACAGAGGCAGAGGACCCAAAACCTCAAAAGGCGAAACCAGGAGAGATCTCTCAGGAGTCTTTTGGGGGCATTTGTTACGCATATCTTTCCGGCACTTAGTTCTATCCCTCACCCACTCGCTTAACCGCAAAAACCAAAATACAAAAACACACAAACACAAATCCAAAACGGAAGTGCCTCTAATTTCAATATGGCTGCCCCTTCACTTCCTCTCTCGTTCTCTCTGGCTGACAGAGAAACATTTTCTGACACAATTTCCGAGATTTATTGCCCGCACTGCCACACACCAGAAGCATGCAGAGTGTGTTTCAAGGAAGGTGAGGCAAGCTGGCACTCTTGCAATATGGTTTATTCCCTCCCTTACGAATATTAAAATGTATCATCATCCGAATTTGTATTAATGCCTTCCCTTTCGATTAACCTACCTTGGACACACTATTTTGGGAGAGTGAGTGGCATAAATGGGAGAAAGTGGAGTAAAAGAGTGAGGCGGAAAAGCAAACAACAACAAACTCTAGAGAGACAGAGAAAAAAGGCTCCTCGTCCGGCAAATAAATCAAATAAAATCGATGATTTTCCTATTACCGTTATGTTATGTCATGTTCCTTCCTGCCACCGCGTGCACGGGGGGATTGAATGTATAAACGGAAACGATTCGGTCAGAAATCGGGGAATAATTGTGGCCAAAAACCCAATGCCCGCGAGCAGGCATAGATTTCCGATTGCAGCAGGAAGACAGAGTAGGACAGGAGGACCGGAGGTTCATTCAATGAAACGGTGCGAAAGTTTTCATAGGCAGTGAAATGAATGAATTTGTGATAGTTATGAAGGCAATGGCAATGCGAATTTAAGCATAGTTATGTGGAAACGAAAATGGAATACCCTTTAGCATAGAATCTAATCGAGAAAACTCTTGCCTGATATGTATGCTCATTCTTAAATGATAAGCCACTCTGGAATAGAGGGTGAGAGCCCGCAAGTGCAATGCGGGAGAGAATCTTTCTTCAGGCATGGTAACCCACTCATCTCCCTCTTCCACGGTAAACCTCCTGCTACCTTCTAATAGTTCTTCCTCTGTCCATTTTTTTTTTTGTTTTTGTCAAGGGCATAATTTTCTGCAAACCCTAGGGCACCCTGTCCATAAGCCAGCCTTTGCAAATATTGGTTCTCGGGCTGTCAGAAAATGACAAATTAATTTTGAAATAAGCGGCATTTTTGGATTCCGGATCGGAGATCCATTTGATTGTTTGTTTTTTGCTGCCACAGCCGCCACTTGGTTGCCGCTCTTTCTCTTTCAGGCTGCAGACTGATGATGGAGCCGCCACACATACACAGAGAGCAGTGAGTGGGAGTATGGGGGAATGTGTGTAAGGTGGGGTGGGTGCCAATGATTGGCATTGAGCAGAAAGTTAAATTGAATTCAATGCAGAGAGAAAAGCAATTGAAAAGCGCAGCGTTTTGTGAATGCGGCTGCCATTTGCATATCGAATGGCAATTTACCGTTGCACTTGACAGTAAGGAAGAGAGCAAAGGGGTAGAGAGATTGTGGAATTTGTAAGGATATACATATATGAAAGAGAGGGAGAGGCTGTGTGGGGAGTTTAAACTTTCAGCTGATTATATGCGTATTTAATGTGCGGTTAAGAACGATTTTTCCATGGATTTTTCATAATTATAAAGAAGTTTTCGGTGGACTCTTGGATGAGATTTTGTTTGAAACTTTTTAATAATTTTCTTTACAGGTTTATCTTTGCTTTCCTCGTTATGTTACTTCCATATTCCTCTGCGGATTTCCCTTATTTTTGTGAATTTTCATCATACATTATGTTAATTTATTGGCCTCAATATTTTCTGTGTTGCATCCCAAAGCTACTCTCATCCTCTTTCTGCTGCTCTCTCCTTCCTTTTCCGGTCTACAAATTATTATCCCTAATTATTCTGCCATTTCGACGTAAATATCTTAACTTTTGGCTCTGCTCTGCTTCCAATTATATAACTTTTTACGAAAGAAAATTCCTATGATTTCAGGGGAAATCATAAAGTGGATATATTTCCTGTGATTTGTATGCCACACGCAGCCGCTACAGCTTTTGCATTCCATTCCAGTCCATTCAGTTCAAGGGAGTCGTGCCTCATTCCTTTGCCTGCTCCTTGATAATTTCCTGGTAATCCTCCACATTTGTTTGCTGCCATTTTCCTGTATAGCAAATTATTGCAATTGAGTTTATTTTCATAATTTTACACAAATAACTTTTTTATGACCCAATTATCAACAGAATGAGGGGTCGAATTTCCTTATGTTGCCCTCCCTAAATGTCGATGCCAAATACAGGCTGCCCTTAGAGTTTTCTCACTATTTGAATACTTTTGATACCCTAGCGGAAAGGCAGAAAAGTATTTACAAATCGAGGAATCCAGAAAGAGTTTCTGTGTCGGAACTGGGAATCCATTGAGAGATCCATGAAAAATGCAAATTGTATCCCGAGCTTCATGTAGTTTTCTTCAAAAATTCAAGCCAAATGTGATCCATGTCGAATGACTATATCCTCCTATACTATTCCTAGCAATTCTCTTTCTATAAAGGGTATCTAAACCTTCGATAGGTATGGCTCTCATTTCCTGCTTGTAATTGCAGCCACAACGACGATGACGATGGGCGATGATGACGACGGTCGATGGTTTTGTATTTTATTTTCTTCTCACCTGCTGGTTGCAACGGCAGAACATGCGGCAGGCAGTGACTACAACAACAACAACAACAACTGCAACAAACGATGGCGACGACAATTACCTGTGCCCGTAATTTGCAAATTATTTGTGGCGTGCATTATGGGCCCAAAAGCTTCGCCAGCCATCTCTCTGCTTCCTATGCTCCCTGCCTTGCTGCTGACTTCCTTCCCTCTCTCTCGGCTTTCCAGCAAAGTTGTTTGTTTGCGGAAAACATGTGAGAACATTGAGTGGGCGGTGGCGTTGATGCACCGCGTAGAGGTGTGTGGGAGGGGACTTCCCCTGCCAATAACTTCCGCGGAAATGTTCAGCATAAGTCTAGCTGCGGTCCTCGCTCTCCCCTCGGTACTTTGCAGCGCCCTTTCATCATAGAGCTGCCAACTCTCTACCGTTACACTTTCGTTGTAGCTAACGGAACTTTGGATACGTGCAGGAAATTAGAGATGGGAGAGGGCTACACAAGGGCTTTAAGGTTCGAAATAGAAGCGTGAGTTTTGGAAGGAAGTGACTCATATTTATCCCCAACTTTCATTTGTTGTGCCACAACTTAACGAAAGTTCTACCACCACTATAAATGTTGGTTCCATCTGGTTCTCTGGCTCCTCCAGAGTCCAGTCACTCT